TTATTGAAACACAAGTGGAAATAAAACGTTTATTGAACTAGCGACTACGGTGTGTATTACATGTTTATCTAGCAGTCATTTTCAGTTAGAGGAACTTGCAAAATCTTTTTTTTTTTTGCCGTAAGGAACTGAATCTGCTTGATGATGCACTGTGATTATGTGATCGCTACGCTACGTTATTTTCTCACTTCGAACGCTATGTCCATTTGGCATGGTAATCCTATAGATACAATTGTATGTGTACGGTATATTTTTTCGGATAATCCGAACATTTCGGAATCCGAGCAGACCACACCGCCAATTAGATCGGAATACTGGCGTTCTACTGTACATCCTTGTATCTTAACAGTTTACACGTGTTACAGTGTTTGTCCCTTTAACGGTCCATCAATTAATTATATTCGTATTCTTGCTGTATATTTTATCGATGAAGGACATCGATTACATCCCCCGTGGATTCCACTTCGGAATCCCCAGCTTGTCAACCAATCACATTTCTATAATTTTCGGAATCCATGGGCAGAATTACATTATCTTGATAATTCGCGGTTCCTTTAAACCGCAGTAGACAAGTGAAGTTTCACGTACGTAACCAAGAAATTGTTGAACTAATTTCTCGTTACATTTCACATGTATTATTCAACAGAAAATTAATGCAATATTTTACTCTTGTCATAATTTACTTAGATCTTCTGCTCCCTTATTAGATGATGCAGGTGGGGATATAACGACTCTCAAATGATATGGGGGTTGGAAGAGTACCTCGGTAGCTGAAAGCTATATAGACGATTCTGCGGCAAACAACATGAACATTTCGAACAAAATACTGCAATATAGAGAGCAGAACAAAACTCTTGCAAAATATTTTACCAACATCATCACAACTAGTACTGATGTCAATTTTGAAGGAGCGTCAACACAATCAGTAATACGCATTTCTAACTGCAGTAAATGCGCCATTACGTTTGTCACAAAAAAAATCAGACTTATTATGTTTCTTATATTACAACGCTGTGTGATATAGAAAATTCTTATACTTGGCTTTCAAGTAAAACAAAACCTGTTCAAAATCGATTCTGAATATTTTAAGTTCGTAGAGAAACAATAGTCTTCTACTTGCGCATAAGGGCAAGTATTATTTCGTAGAATTTCCGACACTCGCTCCTAAGTCGCTCGTATCGTAAACATCAACGCGTGAATAATAGTCATCATATCATACACTCCCAACAGAGGTTAATGAAATGAAAATCACCCTATAATGTTATTTAACTGTCTCGAAGACCTAGAGATGAAAATGCGATCGTCAGACGAAGATGCATACGAATAACTTTACCATGACATACTAGCACGTCGGGTGATGACAGTGCTATGAAACTACTCGACAAGACCACCTCTTTCCGAGGACCACCGCTTTTCAAGACCTATTTTCTATGGATCGAATTATTTATTTTGCAAGACCAAAGTGTTTGTCGCCCCTAATAGACGATCACCCTTATTCCCAGCCAACCACCACGAAATGTAATATCGCATTTTCTTTAAGGCGACGAGATAACTTATTTTTTTTATCTGTTACCTCCTGTTCGGCATTTCTGCCTTTCGGGGGTGTTAACATTTTACAAAATAATGCTTTGACATTCGTTCTCACGCTAATTGTCTTGAATATTACACGCTATGTTCAGTTTATAATTTTGAAAAACTGATTTGATGTGAATTTATTTTTATAATTCATTGAATAAAATATTTATATGTAATTATTTTGTATTAATAGATGTTGGGGAATTAATGACGTTGAGTATTTATTGAGGTCTGAGTTTGTCCTTGGGAAATCGTGAGCATATTCTATTTGGTTTTGGGCAGTTTTTGCCGAGTTTGAAGATGGGCGTGGCTGGAGATCCTGAAAGAGTGTCAAAGAACATGTGAGAGGATTTTAGGATTTTAGGACAGTGAATTACAAATTGGACTAGCATACGAGATAGTTGGTCGTAATATCGATTTATAAATTGTAGTTCCACATTCAATACTTAAAGCTGATTTACAGTTTAGAAGAGGATAAAGTTAAGCAATTTTTGCGTACGTTTTGTTTGCAACTGTTTTGATGTGGTCTTTCCAAGTTAATTTTGCATCAAACATTAGTCCTAAATATTTAACTTCCGTTTGTGTGGGAAGCCATTTTATTATTGAATTTTGAATTTTAACTGATTTTTGAATTTTTGAGATGACTTCTCACTGACATAACATTCGAGGCGCCACGTTCTGTCGCAAGACAGTTTCCGGAGTCTCGCAGAGAAGTCGTAGTTATCGGGCGCGTGAGATTTTACGATAAGCCTTAACTTTGTCTTTGATAGCGTTCCCCCTCTATCCACCACTCCTCCACTTGAGCTTGCCTCGATTAACCAAGTTTCCGCAAAAGAAAACTCAATGGACGCTGAGCATTCCTGTAACCCCGATAGATTACAGTTATCTACTGTAAGGTCGAATACAGAACCGATAAGCAACCAATTAGATAACGAGAATGAACTCCCAGACATTAACTTGGAAACCTCGGACATGAATGATAAGACTAATACAATTTAAAAAATAAAGAACCAACCCTCGAAAAATAAGAAAAAGGGTAACACCTCTTCTAAAAATTATGTCGATCAGTCATGGTCCAACACTAAAACAAACCTAGAATCTCCCAACATTCATTATCAATTTTATTTACATCAGCTCCAAAGTTTCTTTGACAAAACGAAAGGTAATAACTGTACTGTAACAATTGACAGAGAATTACCATATGATTTTGCAGCTTTAAAAACAATGCTGAGAGCTGATTACCAAAACTTTCCAAAACGTGATATGAAAAATAGATCTTTGAGAATTATCAAAAACTGATGCAGATATTAATGGAAAGGCGTATGCCAAGGAACAAGATTCAGAAGAGCTTGGATCCAACCCTCTCCCTTATTGCTATTCTTACTTAAGATAGTATAAATTAAACTAATTAAGTTATTTACAATGGAAATTATACAAAGAAATTATAATGTCTTTTTTGCAAGAAAACCATTCATCAAGATTCTCATTAACTAATTCAAACCAAAAATAATCTGCTTTCAGAAAACACTTTAAATATCAAAATTGTAGCTCATTTTTAGGATACAGATAATTTTGTAATAGAAATAATTCGAACACTGCTAGAGGTGGCGTTGCAATTTGTACTAAAAAATATTTTTTCGTACATCGAATCTGCTCTCCAACTCACTAGATCCCAATTAGTCCAAATTACCAGATTACGTATTGGTCACTTTAATCCCTTCCACACCACCTAAAAAAATGACTCATTCTGGAGTGCTCTGAACTAGCCCATATAAGACACTCCATAAACTTAATTCATTCTTAATTTAATTTCTTCTCCTCCTCATAAAAACAGTCTTGCAACTTTTATAAACTTCACAAAATTGACATCTTAATAGACAGACCATCCATTACCTACATCTCATCTCGTATAACCGTTCAAATATGGTATCAAAGGCCTATCTATTGTAAATAAATAAATATTTATAGATGTGTATGTTACCCATTGATAAAGTCCCCACAAAATTGACACTTTGTGCCAATTTAATGTTTGTATGGACAATATGTAATTGTATAATGTAATTGTTGTAAAAATGCATAATGTTTTGAAAATTCTAAATTGATACCCGTTGCCACTAATGATCTAGTTGTTTAAAAGTGACCATATATATATAAATTTAAAAACTGTTGACGAAAAAAATTAAAATAAAAAAACACAGTTTTGGCAGTAGAATGTGACGGTGATATGGGGAAGCTTAAGAAATCTTTCATTTTTTTTTTTAATTTGAAGTCAAGTTTAACTACTCATGTCATTTTGTTTTAGGGAACGTTTTTCCATTTCATCTGTGATTACCCTTTCCTTTCGACGAAATCGTAATATGTATAAGTAGTATAGCTTACAAACCGTGCTCTCAAAACAATGCAATTTTTTATTACAGGTTTCAGTGACGTAGGCATCACTTCCCCGAGAGAGTAATTACACTGAAAAAGTCGCTCTTCGATATGAAGCACAACGTTGCGTGTGCCGCTGTGGCTTTGTTAGTGTTACTGTCACTGTCGATTAGCCTGCTCTACGTAAGTGACAAGAGGTCAACTTGTTCAACAGAAATCGAATTTCTGCCGTCCTCCAGTTTAAGGCCAGTCGAAGGAGACCGAAACATTTTCTTCGTCGAGACGTCCTGTGCTGTGAATAGCAAGCCTTCTTCGAATTATTCATATAGTAAGTTCTATTGTCTTATGCATCGCATTACAACTACAATATTGAATAACTACTATTAACATTTTTTGTATTATCATCTATGCTTCAGAGGTATCGTGAAGTAGGGTCATGTACAATTTTTTGAAAATGAGTTGTAAGGCAATTTTTAGACCATTATTTTCCCAAAAATTGCAGGACAATAAACAATTGGTGTTGGTTTTAATTTCCGACGAACTCTCTCAAATTTCGAAAATTGCAAAACGTTAACATTGCAAAAGTACAACATTGATAATATCTTCAATAAAATATTTTTCTTCTAAAAATCTGTATAAAAAAGGTCGAATAGAATTAATTTTTAAAATAACAGAACTTTTCTCGTGATTCCTACTTGAAGTTGATGCAAGTTATAAAGAAAGATGTTGTCAAAAAGCGATTTTTTTTTCTCAGTTAGAACAAGGGACGCTTAAAAGAATGGCATAGGTTTCGGTTTAACTCTCTGAATTTTCAGAATTTGCAAATGATAGAAATAATTCGGGAAAATGGTGCTGTTTGTAGCATCACTACTTATTAAATGGAAGCATGCTCCAGAGTCACAAACGGTTTTGCAATAAGAATTAAGGATGAAAATTACCTAGCCACGGAAAACAAAGCAAAAAATTAGAAATTCTACCCCACGTGCAGACTCGTTACCTTCTGACGTTAATGTCTTGTCATGCCCTTGGCAATTCTCATAGTGCGTAAAATTCACATGTTTTGCGGTGAAGTTACACGTTAGTGACACGTTATTTGAAAATTAATATTTTCCTTCAGTGTTTGCAATGTTCCGAGAAAATAATTCAACAGCTCAAAAGTAGTAACGTATTTCCTGTGCATATCTTTATTTCATTTGTATTTTTAAAAAATACCTTTCAGGTTAACATAACTTCTTGTTTCATTCGGTTAAAACCAATATAAAAGATATATCGTTCTTTACGGAAGGAATAAATAGGCATACATTTTAGTTGAGACTACTTTGGTTTTTTCACTACTTTTTATCCTCCTGTGCACACTGATAATTTTTAAATTTATAATATTTAATAAGCCAGCAGTTTTCCAAAATGGTTATCAATCAAGCTCTATCTGCCAGAAAATGGTTTGTAATTCAAAAACTCAGTAAAAGAGAAACACAAACATCATCAGGCATTCAGATGGAATTATGAGATACAGATCGTTCAAGTTTGCCGAACACATGCAAATGAGTGGAGAACCAGGATTGTACTTGGACCAATGTACAGGAAGGGGCAAAACCAATTAAGCAGTTGACCGTTCAGTCGAGTCATCGTCTCGGAAGCTCAAACTAGCGCTGCCAAGTGGTCGTTCAAACTATCACGATTGGATGCTGTGCCGGCTCCGTTCTTTAACTGCTCACAGTATTCTTTAGGGCCTTGCAACTCTCCATCGAAACCGGAACAAAGCTCGAGGGTGCTATTCTAGGAAGTGTCAGTGTCGACGGGTACAGCCGTAGGCAAGACTCGCCCCACTTCCGCACATAAAAATGGGCTAATTTGTGGGAAATGAAACCAAGTGTCTTGTAAATGGTCAATTATTTACAATAGACGCATACAAGAAACCTCTGAAGCAAGCGCGAACATCTGCGCTATCATTTGTAACATTACGGGCCTGCTTGCGACCCGCAAACTCCCGCAGCAGTTTAGAGTAGCAGCAGTTCGTGTTTTAGTTCCTGTAAGAAGGTGACTCGGCAGAGCGCGCCACCGTAACGGTTGCCACCGCGTTCTGTGGGAGTTACAAGGCCCTGGTATTCTCGACGTGGAGGACGTAGCCTTGATTCGAGCGCGGTGTGCAGGCTGTGTCCTTGAGTTGAGTTGAGCGTGGTGTGCAGGCTCCGGGCTGGTGCTGACGCCGCGCGCGGCGTGCTCCATCGAGTCCGCCGCTTTGGCCAACCCGCGGCGCCCGGTGTTTCTGGTGCACTCGTGCCGTGTGGACGAGGCGGACCCGTTGCGCGACGCGCCGCCCTTCGCCCGGCAGCTTTTCGCCCTGCCCAACGTTTATCTGTGGAACGCATCCTTCGACCTGCTCTTTAAGGTATGTGTGCTAGGGCTAGGTGAGGCTAGGGCCTGCCATGGCCTGGCGGCTGTGGCATTCGCTCTCTCAGACACTTTCATACCATGATACATTTGTGATTCATTATTATTATTATTATTATTATTACTAGCGGACCCGACAGACTTCGT